TCGGTAGAGCCGCAGCATGGCACTACTCCCATAGTATATTTCCTTCGAATAAATAATTGAACCGAGCAAGAATAATTATATTTTAGCAAGTTGTCACCCTGCGTGATGTCGAATCAGGAAAATAATTTTTTGAGAATCCTGACGTAGCTATATCATATCATGTTAATGCCAAATGATTAGATCCGTATGATTAGACTCCTTGGTAAATTATTATTATTACATTCCAAGTAGCTGTGTTATTAAGATTATTTATTTTAAATAAGCATAGAGTAGTTTCATTATTAGTTTTATTTTATTTACTGATCTATCATTTGAGATATTTTAGTTCGTTATTTAACTCTTGTTAATTTAATAGGTGAACACGTTTGGTTTGTATTAATTTAGCAAGTGTGACTGAGCACAAAAACGATTTGCTAATCTATGGGACTAAGATAGAAAGCTCATGGATATTTACCATCTTGCACTACTACTCACTACTGCTCAAATAAATTTATTTTGTTTATATTAATTTATTTGATGTGGGTGAATATTTATTGTCGCGGCTGATACCGAAATTGGCTAATGCTGAAATTTGAACCTACTTTAAAAATGAAGTTTTAAATTTGTTTTTTTGATATGGTTTTTTATTTTGAATTAAGACCTCAAATTTTATCAGCCAGCTTCCGAATTTGATGATATTTAAGCAATCACAGTGACAAGATAAATGTGAGTATACACAAAATAGATTTATTAATTATCTAATGCTATACAGTATATAAATCTTGTGTGGGCTAATTTGTTTACTGTAAATTTCTTTATTTAGACTAGAGATGTTTTGGGTTAATAAATTATGTACCAATATTATATTATATGCATCTAATTATAAGTAATCTCAAGATTTTTTTATAGATAAGACTAAAAATCATATATATTAATTTGATTCTTTGTTAATTACCTGCTTATTAAATATTGAATCAAATACTTAATAACTAATCTTTAGTAATAAAAAAACTTTATAATTTTTACAATCTTATAGTTAATAGATTTTGTCTACAAAACTTGAATATAAAAAAAACTTTATAATTTTTACAATCCTATAGTTAATAGATTTTGTCCAATAAAAACTTGAATATAAAAAAAACTATCATATTTACGTATTTATTTATTAATCTATCTTTACATAATTATTAACTATCGCCATTAAATTTGCGATTATACAAAAATAATAAAATTATATTTAAAAAATAATACAGTTTTTAATCAACGACTATTCAAAACTTATAATTCTATATTTAAAATATAGCATCGCATTTAATTAAGAATTATACAAAAAAAATGGCTTTCATCTAAACAATAGCATCGCATCTAACAACATCTTAACAATGATAAGTTTTTAATCAAAGATTATTCCAAAATAATAACTTTACATCAAAACCTTTAAGTTTTTATCTTTTATTATAGTCTTTATACTTTATAGAGGGCTTTAACTTTTATTGGAAATTTTTCCATCTATAAGAAATTGCTCATTATAGAGATTTCGCACGTTTTGCAGGTTTGTTAGAGGTTTTGTCATTTGAGGTGGTAGGTTTCGCCTTTTGCCATTTTGCAAATGATTTTGTCTAACTACAGTACTCTAATTTTAACCTGACAATAAAATAATTTTTTTATACTTTGTGATATTAATACACGTACATTTATTGGTTAATGTAATGCAGGCCAATTTATTTTCAAATATTTAACTCTGACCAAAAAATTAGGATAATAATTTTTGAGAAGAAAGTTATCTCATGAGTAATGAATAGTTACAACCTAAATTTTTGAGATTCGAAATTCGATTATCTATTTCTAAAAAAGGAATTGAAAAACTTACAATACAGTACTGTAGATAAATCTTAATCAAAATAAGATTAAAATCTAAAACTTTTTATTAAATTTTACGTTATTCATTTAGATTATTAATATTCTACAAGAAACTATATTAAATAGTCGTAGATATAAAAATATTTAATTTTAATAACAATTTAGCAAAAATATTCCCATAACTTCTGAAATAATATTAATAGAACTAATAAAAGATAATTATTATTTATATTATGAGCTATTCCATTTGCGCTCACATCGAAGTTATTTGCATTTGTGGAAGTTCCATCAGGGCCAAATGATACATAAGCTTTTTGACTATTATTAAATTGATTTCTTATAATTAGACACCATTGTAATTCAGTTTGATTTGGAAAAGGCAACCCCATAAATGGTGAGTCACATTGAGTGGCTGGATATTCCAATGTATCACAATAGAATTTTGAACTTAAAGGTTTAATATCCTTAAGTTCAGTTACAGTTTTATCATCGACAAATGAAAATACTA